ATGACTCCAAAAGGATTGACTTTTGGGGGATCAATATGTTCCGCGATTTAATCCAATCGCAGCATCATACTTCCATAGACATTCTTATGCAGTCACGAAGACTCTGCTTGTTTGTATTGGGGTTATTTCCTCCGGGATTCTGAAGCTCGTTCACAGCATCCTCCGTCAGTACACAACTCCCTGGGACCGAAAATCGTGTCCAATAGTTGCCAGGGTAGAGGTACGAGAGGGCGAGCCAGTCGAAAGTATTCATGGAGAACTATGCGGTAGATGTTGCCTTGTTTTCTCATACTTAGGTGGTTTGCTAATAGTTGTCGTGGTGCATGGCCCCTTTACTTTATCTATCTAGAGAGCGATTGTTGCTTTCCCTACCTCCTTCCCTTCCTCCCACCTCCTTGGTCACTTGCCGGTGGAAGCGGGGCAAGATACCACCGCGCAGAAAATTTCCCCAAACATCAAACCTCCAACCCTACCATTTGCCGTCGGCCAAAATTCACAAATTCTGGCACCCCGGAATTTCCACTATAAATACCCCCCCTCCCGCCCCATCCATCTTCTCCCCTCATACTTACCTAGCAGCAGAGTCCACCGCTCATTAATGGTTGATTCTCAGGGTTTTCTTCCCCATTGCACATGGGGGGTAGGGGCTACGATAGTTGCCTTTGGGTATCTGGGCTGCTCGGTTTTTCGTCTGCTCTTGGGGTTTATTCCTCCTCTTTTTCCGTTGCCGTTCTCTCCCTGGCTGTAGAGCGAGGTAATTAAGGCAAGGTATCATACTGAAGATGTGGCAGTAGTTGGAGAACTGGTCTATTTGGTTCAACCGCAAAAATTCTACGAGAGAATTCATGCATGTGGGGGTGGGTCGTCCAGGACGTTAGACCTCCGGAGGCTTTTCGTGTGGAAGATGCTGGTGATGAGTACCTCCTTAAGCAAAGAACCCTGCCCACAATTCCGGCCATCTCAGTAACCAGGAGTCTCCCCTCTCTTTACGGCCTTCCTCCAAAAAATTGTGCATTGGCCCTCACCGATGCTAAACTAGTTATCAACCACCCCACCCTATTATGTGGAATCAGCCCGCTTATTATGTTCTGGCCTATATAGGTATCGATACATTTGTGGGATCATATCACTTCCGGTGCGAGCATGTGTCTACGTGGCCAAGGCGCTCCCCCCATACTCTATAAAAATACTCAGACACACTTCCGCCAAATGGAGACTAGGATATTAGCGCTGCACTATTATCCCGTAGACCTATCAAGGTGAATAGAACTACATACCCGTTCCTTACTTTTGAAGACCTCCCCCTCCCAAGCAAGCGCTATCTCATGCCACGCAACGCAAAAGTGAACGCTGTACGCAATGCCTGACGAGGACTGAGGCCGCTATGGCATCTGATGTGTTCGCAAAAGCCCCCAGAATTCGTGCTCATCAAAAACACCAGCAATCAAAGGATAAGTCACCTCCCCGCCACATAATTTCCTTACAAACTGTACACGTAAATGTCTAGTAACCGCATTCCAGAAACCCCCTCCCCGGCTTCCCCGACAGTTACCCGCCCTTCTTGCCCGACTATCCCTCCCCCTTCTTCTTCGTTTGTAATATGATACCTAGTGATTATTTTTTATTTTTTTCTACATACAGTGCGGTTAGGTGCAAGGACTAGCTGCTCCAGAAGGGTCAGTTCTGGCGGGATTCGTTACCACGCTCAACAGATGCTAGGCCGCATAACTCCTCACTTGTTTCATGGGCTCTCATTCTCTCTCCCCCTTTCTGAACCGCACTGCCAGATACTCGGCTATGCGGGGAATACTGTAAAAGATATGAAAAAAGGACCATTTAATGGTGTCAATAGACTTGTGATGTTGGAAGAATGCAATATCAGCGACTTGAAGTTGATGTATCAAGCTTCCAGTAAAAAGAAAAACAGAAACAGTTTGAAACTCCCTTCGGTCTGCGTTGACAAGCATACCAACCTTGCCTGAAATGAGAACCCCGCCCGGGCGCTGTTCCGTCCTGACATGAGACATGAGACAGCACTGTGCAATGAAAACAATAATTGGAGCATTACAGCAGTTACTTTCAAACAAAACATTTTGTCCAATAAATCACCAGCGCCCTCCGGTATTCCAGAAAGGGGGTTCGCGATGGCCTCGTGACCCCACCGTCCCTAGTCTTACTCCCGAGCGGCAACCCCCCCCGCATGTTAAACCCCCAACCCTATCATTTCTTGTCGGCCAAAATTCACAAGTCTTGGCGCCTGGCCACTGCACTATAAATACCCCCTTCCCCCCCACCCATCTTCTCTCCTCATACTTACCTAGCAGCAGAGTCCTCCGCTCATTAATGGTTGGTTCTCGGAGCTTTCTTCCTTCATAGCACATCGGAGGTAGACGCTACGCCAGTTGCCTTCTGGTATCTGGGCTGCTTAATTTTTGATTTTCCCCTGAGGTTCCTTTCTCTTTTGGTTTTTGTCATTACCTTTCTGGCTGCAGGGCGAGGAGATTAAGGCAATATGCTGATGGAACAAGATTTGTTCGAGCTCCATAGATGTGGGCCATCCAAATTACTGTACCTTACTACTCAACGCATTACCGTGGCATGCCCCCCGGTCCCGCTACTCGATGTCATCTCACTTCTTTGACCATAGTACCGGTAATAAATGGAGAATGTGGGCGGCGCTTTAGGATCCTCTATCCGATCAAACTTCATTTAACTCTCTTCTGTAGGCCCTGTTTATATATTATTCTATTATACCCACAGTGCCCCTCGAAATTGGTTTAAGCGCACCGACATCCCTAGAGACAGCTCTATGACTCCAAACCGCTATACAACTACCAAACTCTTAAGGATAGTCTTTTGTCCTCTTTCCAGCTTCCTGATCGCCGCGCTAAGGGGTAGGTTGGGAAAGGGGAATCTTTGGGGATTGTTTTTGTGCATCTTAGGACCCAGCGAGCCCAGTATCACCCCATCCCATATTGTGGCTAGGCATCGGGGCAAAGCAATCGCGAAGAAAGGAAAAATTACCATTGGTCACTAGTCACGAACGATTTCGTGCTTGTCCCGGACACACCTCTCATGCTCAGGTAGAATATCTCTCTGTACTTTATCATCGGGATGTGGAGAAGGTTTTTTCTACAACCGACTCCAAATCCGCTTGCCAGACGGTATCAAGCCCCGCCAAAGGCTATATCTCATAGGAGCACAGTTGACAAGTTAACAGTATCAAACATGCCCATTCCCCTTTTACCACCCAGGCCCATTTCCGCCGCCCCAGCCCAAGGTATCAAAGCACAAAACTTTATTCAAAGCCGGTCAAAATTGTCCATCACAAGTCTTGACGCCCCCCATAAAACCTCCCGCTCCTCCCTTCCCGCCCTTTTTTTTCTTTTTTTCTTAGAGAAGTTGTTCACACCCTTGTCATCGCAGTACCTGCCCTCCGTCGTTCATCGGTGGCTTCATGGCTACCCGACTTCATGGCTACCCGACTTCATGGCACCAAGAAGTTGGCTGCCGTGCTAAACAGTCCCTTGGATTTTTTTGGACTTTCGAATCCTGATTTTTATGCTATCCCTCTGGCTGCTACGCGAGGGGATGAGAGTAGATTGTGTGCTGGGTTGGCGTGGTATGGGGAGGAGCGGAACGGGAGCGAAAATCGGTTGTAGTGCCCCAGTTTACTAAATGTTACTAGCTGAAGTCTGCGGATGTTTCGAAGCTTCTGATAGGCCCCGCCAGTCGAGCTATGCTTGAAAGAAATTTGTTTGAAATACCTTGAAGACAGTACTGCACGGCGTGGGCGAATTACCGTACGCCAGGTTGGTAAGTTACAACTATGAGGGCTACGATTCAGGTTGAATCCAGTATTCGCATTTCATCCCACTCTACCGTGCCCACATAACAGCAGATTCTAGATACAGCAACCAACCACACGAACACCCGACTCGAACCAAGATTATCTCGAACTTTTTCTCCCGTCAGCTGTCAACACCCTTCATTGGTTTTTTTTTTCTTTTTTTTTTTCTAAGCGTATCAAACGGCCACACGTCTAATATCTTCCAATCCTCCTTTTGCCCATTCCTTCCCCTCCACATTCTGTATCCCTGCATTACGCAACCGCCCCCGTTCGGAATACCAAGCCTACTTCTCGAGAGTTCCGCTGGTATCATACTTTAGTAGGATACACGCTCATCCAATCCCTCCCTCAATAACATTCGGGGGCAGCATGTTCGAAAGGAGGTTATAGGGGCAAACGCAAAAAAAAATTATACCGATACCCCCACCAGCTACTGTAGCTTGTGGAAATCATTCCTCTTATATCAGGATCCAGGATTGGAGGAGAATGCAGTACCCTTTCTCCCTTCTTCCACTCTTAGGGATAAAAGGTTGTGTAGGGCTAGCTCGCCTTCTCCGATTGTCGAGTGAAAGCGCAATTTTAACAGGCGTGGTACTATCAAACCGGTAGCAAGGGAAGGTGGAATCAATCCACTTCATTATTTATGCAGATCTTGTCACTGACGTTTCTGGAAACCAGCCGCTTTCCTACTTATCCCCCCGCCCTCCCCTATCCCATACTCTAGACCTGACCCCCGCTGTGCGTCTTGGGTTGGGAATTCATGGGCAGATTATGGAGAGCTGGTGGGTAAACGGGCGAGTTGGTCGTCCCTTCGAATATGCTCTAAGGTGTGTAGTGTGCTTCGGGGTTACCGTGCTGATCGTGTGGCTGCAAGATCGGAAGACATGACCGCCATATTTCATAGGGATGCATGGGATCAGCGAGAATATCCTTCCGATTCCTACTGATACAGGCGGGTACACTTGCCCGAGTTCTCCCCACAACCTACTTACGTATCCGAGCCTCGGCAGGATCAAACTACCCAGGGAGTACCCGAATAATCCAACGGGGGCGATCTTCACAGAGAAACATTACAACCATTCCCATAACTCTACCCCATCAAGTCCCTACAAGCCTCTACAATCACACTCATAAGAAAAGGGACCCGCTCCTACCACCACCTGCCCGATTCAATATCCGCAAACTTCCGCCCCGCCCCGCTCTCCCGCATATCTCCCCGCCTCTTCTCCTCTGCCTCCTCCTTCTCCTCTCCCTTCTCCTCCTCCTCAGGAACCTCAACCACGGTATCTAACCCTCCACCTATCCCCTCGTCCCCGTGAGCACCACCACCCCTGGCCCCAGTGTTAATCCCCCCTACACCAGTCATCAGTGAGAAACGCCAAAACCAAGCCAAAGGTAAAATAAAGGAAACACACCGTTGTCACCGGTAGCCTCACCACGCTCCCTGGGAACCCGCTTGCCCAGGAGAAAGCCCGTGCCGAAACGGTACACGCCGTAGCCAGCGAGGAATGCAAGGGCAAGGAATACGGCGCAGAGGGAGAGGGTGGCGATGACGGTGGAAGCTGTATTTGGTCTGGGATCTCCGTATGCGACTAGTGGCGGTGATTGAGGGGGTGATTCGGGGGGTTGATAGACCTCCAAGGCGTTCATTGCGGGGGACGGCAACATGCTAGATTTCATGCGTCTTTTTTTGAATTGAGGAACGATTTGCGTTTCTCTGTGGACCTGAGCTTGCTTGTTTCCGATGGTTTGGAAGTTTAGAAGTTTGGAGATGTTTGATGGACAAGTTTGGGAATTCCAACAGGAATTTATTTGGTTTTATCGCTCGATTCAATGGCCGTTGTTTGCCCCATTACAATTGGGATTACAATAGCGTCCGAGTCACAATGGCATCTATGGGATTAAATTTCCGCAAGCATAATGGCCTGATCTAATTGTATTTTATCCAAGCCCTAAACGGCACACCGAGTGATAACATATGAATCGCCCAGTCTAACGACTTGGTATCATACATATTCCCCAACACTCATCCCCCGCCCTCCCCGACCTTATTTCCAAACAAAAGGTCGTTCTTCGTCTGCCGATCCCAAACCACTACCCCATCACTCCGCCTCTTAAAGTACGCAACCCGATGCAGCGGAATAAATTCCAGGTCCGTCTGCTCCATCTTCCACTTTCCAACATCCATCTCTCTGATCCCTTTAAACCTGTCCTCATATCCTACCAGAAAATCGCCCGAGTCCAAAGACGGATCCCACCTGATCCGGTTAATCACATCGAGTGCCGGACGGAGCTTTTTGCCTGGTACAGGCTGTTTGGGCTGCTTTTTGGTTTTTGACGACGGTGCATCTTTAACACCCGGGCGACCCTGATCATCATCGCACACATATTCTTCACCATCCAAGCCCTCCTCGATACCGAAAAAGTCATCTTCGTTGTCTATGAGATCATCCTCAGTGTCACCATCACCCCAATCTCGTTCGTCCACTTTAACAGTTCCCAGAGAGGACTTCCGAACATGCTGGACTTGAATCCATGAGTCTGTAGAATCGCATTCGAGCACACCTGTTGAGCGCTCTTTGAGATGCTGCTCAAATCCCTGTAAAACCTCCATGAACGCATTCTCATCCTTTCTCTTTTGCTCTTTCGGCCTCTCTTCTCCAGCGTTATTTTTGGACAGCCCGACAAGGTAAAACCCCCGCAATTCAGTCCACTCATCGAGCTCAGTGGTGCTAACGAACCTCTGCGGCCAAACCCGTGCAAATATGAAAGGCGCTTTGGTATTTAGCCCTATTTCTCTCAGTATATCTCTCTCAAAACGGAATCCCATACAGACCAACTAGAAGCAAGGGAATCGCGCTTTCCACCCATAGAGCCAATTCCTTTCCTCTCCTCAAGGCGTTTCCCCAATATTGAACATCAATCTTTACGTAGCTCTCAAATTCCACCAAAAACTCATTTTCTCTCTCCGCCAATCTTAAGTCCCATCGCCCACTATCAAGAGCATTGTTCGCAAGTTCAAACTCCCGTGTTAACGCGGATATACTATGCTTGGTGGCGTTTCTCGCCACATTGACCACTGGGGTATAGATGCTAGTAATGGCCATTGGCTCCCGAGAAAGCCGCTGATACCGGGCTCCAGCCGGGAACTCCGGGTCGTAAATAATCTCCGTTAGCCAGTCGGTTTTTGAGTAATGGTTGAAGAATAACCTAACGATCTTTGCCGCAGTAGCATCCTTTGGATCTCCATCAGCCAGCTTACATATGCGCGACAACAGAAGAGTGATGTGAAAACCACCGAGATATCCGAATCGTGAGGAAAATACTCCACTGGCAAGAGCCCACATCCTGATGAAGCGATATGCGAGACGGAAGGCACTGAGATTTGGTATTGTACGAAGGAGGAATTCAGTATCTCGATAGGAGTTAAGAGATTTGAGCCCGCATGCCGGTAATGAGAATACCGGGTCATTCGGAGGGAGAAATGGAATAGTTGACCAACTGCCCTTGGTAAGCACTTATCACGAGTAATCCATGAATAGCAACTTACCGCTCTATTACTGCCGGGGCTTGACAATACTGTAGGTCAAGCTTTATATTCCCAGCCTTCAGCTCTAAGATAGCAACCTTGGCATCAACAAATCTTGTCAAGCGGATTCCTCGTTCACCACCGAACCTTCTAATCCTTTGTCTCGCAATCTCAAAAAAGGTCTTGGTGGAAATTGTTGAAACACAGAGACAATCCACATCAGAGTCCTTGCCATAGACGCCCAGTGCGTAGCTACCCACGGGGGCCAAGATAATCGGGATAGGCCCACGAGCGGGGTTATATCCAGCCCCAGCCACTGATTCCTGCTCCCGTAGCAAAACTTCTCTCAGAGATGCTATAGCAGCCTCTCGATTATTATGATCAGCCCTACAAGGCACGCAGGAATCAACGAGGGTTTTCAGAAGTTGATCATCGATATCCACGTCCTGGAGTTGCAGCTTGGCACTGTTTCTCTGCCCGCCAGCATCTCCTGCATCCGGACGGAAATTCAACATAGCGCTAACACCCCAATGGTCGCTGCCACACTCCAGTGTTTTTTCACTGTCCTGAGAATCAATTATTGGAAACCCAAATCGCCGTATATCCCTAGCCCTCAAATTTCCAGCGCTTTTGATCAGCACCCGATCGTACCTTTGTGGGCGAGGGTCACCGCTCCATTGCACGATCTTCGCTGCAACCGGATTCGTGAATGGATTGAATGTGGCTCCCCATTCTCCTTCCCCATTGGTCCTCGCAGCGGTATTATCCACCTCGTAAGGGACATCATCTTCTTCATTTGGGCCAAAAAGTAATTCCCAACAGTCGGAGAAGACCTCCTCGTCGATTAGCCCTTTCCGGGCCAATTCGTGAGTATCTTTCGAGATACTTTTGTTCACCAATGCCGAATCAATGCTTTGTATTGAGGTCTGGAGGTTGAAATCACCCGCTACAATCCACTCACTAGTGGGGTGTTTAGCGCGCAGATATGCTGAGAGTGTCTTCAACTAGGTAGCTTTTGCTAAAACACTCCCATCACCAAGACCGCAAGTAAGATGGACAGTCGCCACAATAAGTGGTTCATCTGGACCTCCCAATCCCGGAAATGACGCAATAACCGCACCCTTATGCCGTTTGGCGAAGTCAAGCCATTGCCATTCGAACGGTCCGCACGAAGCTGTAGCAAAGATAACACAATTCCTTATGCTGGGAAGAACCGAGTTTGGAGAGTGTGTGCACAGGGGGTACCGAGCTCGAATAGCGTTATTGGAGAGAAGGTATTGGAGAAAATCATCGGTTACTTCTTGAAGACAAAGTATCGAAGGTGTCGCTAAACCCGGCGGAGTAGGGTGGATCGAAAGGATTGCATTGATCAGCAGCGGATATCTTTCAACCGGGGGTGGAAATGGAGAATCTATCAAGACATTGTAAGTAGCTATGGTAATATCCCTCGGGAGGAACCTTCGTCCTTGAGTGCTTGCAAGGTCAACCGGAACCCAATCATCACTTTCTGCAGAAAACCGACAGGAGGCCCCTGACCCGACGTTTCCGAAACCCTTTGTTGAATCATCAAAACCTAACCTCTGAAATTCACCCAGATTATCACTAGACACGCTCTCAATCTCTAGATCCCTATCCTCTTCCCATTCTCCCTCCCCAGACTCCCCGGTGCTCCGTTTCCCCAGAAGGATTTCATCAACAACTCTCATGTTTCCCTCCTCATCTCTTTTCATCACCGCCAGCCTCGTCACAAACCATTTGAACGGTTCGCTTGAGATTCTGTTCGCCATCACCAGCTTCCCAGCTTTAGATAACAAAGAATTCAGGGGCATTGGGTCCAATGAAGTCTGCCCCAAGGTAAGATGTGGTCTATAAACACCATCACCTGCCCTTCCTCTTTTCGCGTATCCGCCAGACAGTAGCACCTCAAGCCGTTTCAGAGCTTTTCCAGATGCTGTCTCCGGGTCGCCAACCATCCCACCATCATGCGGACCCGGCGAGAGGAATATTGTGGCACTCTGCTTATGTCGGAAGCTCCCCGGCCGATCCAACCCTAACCAAAACCCAAGCCCATCATCCTCGCTCTCCTGAACCACCCTTCGGATATCCTGAACAGCCGATGGGAGACTCTCGGGCGTGACGAAGGGGTAGAGCACGTTGATATGCGGAGGCCATCTCGGGTAGGACTTATCGTATAGCGAACGGAGGGCGTTAATCTGCGGGTGATAAAAGGCCGGGGGGATAACAGCAATGGCAGTCTGGTAAGAGGAAAGCGATCGTTCCTGAGAAGAAGGGGTTCCGCTAGGATCGGTAGTTGTCGTCATGATGGACACTTTTAGAGGCCAGGGTTAGGTTTACCGCTCCCTTGAAGCTTGGATCTGGGGAGACTAGACTAAACTCCTCCGCGAATTTATTACGATACCTTAAAAACGGCAAGCTAAAAGGTAAGAACACACCGATAACAGTGCTGTGCTTTTCCTATCGTTCTCAATGTTTGTGTGCTGTACCGCCGCAATGTAGCGCAGGAGAAAGCGAAAGTCGCAAAGATGAATCTCAGCTCTCGGCAGCCGAACAAATAAGTTACCGACAACCCGCAAAGAACCATCCGGGTTACTTATTGTAAAATCAACAAACCAGCCTTTCGCATCATCCTTATGAGTCCGCCGGGGGTGAGTGAGTGATTCCAGAGTACTAGTACTCGAGTACATAGACTAGCCTCACATGGCGCAAGCCACCACTGACTGGCTCGTCTGTTGAGTCATTGGCACGCCTCCCGACTAAGGTTTCAGCACAAATTACTTGTACATAGCTGTGTGCCACATCGAGTCATAGTACCGGTAGCGCAAAACACCATTGATCACTCACAACCTGACCGGGGCAGCAGCACTGTAGCATTCCGCTCGGCATATCGAGGGGACGAACTATGGCACTCATCCAACAGATACTCTAGTCACTTTTCACTCCATTTTCTTAGAAAATTCTTCGTTCGTTTGGCGACCAGTTCCCAACCAGGTTTAACAGAGCACCAGCCGATAAAAACAACAAATCAGCCTCTCTCAGTATACCCATACCCTCCCACGGTATCTCCCGGTCGGGGGGGATGCGGCAGAAGGTCAAGCCGGTATCCTATCATTACAATGGCTTTTCTCCTCGAAATGGAGATCCTTTCCAGGGAATATAACGAACGGGTGAAGGCAAAAAAAAAATACTAGAACAAAACCGTCCATTCCTCCGCGAGAAAGTTCGAAAAGATGCAAAAGCACCAACACCACCGCACGCCGGCGTTCCAACCTACTGTAACTAATTGACCTCCGGTATTTGTTGGCTGCTAGCATATGCATAGGGTGGGATATCGGACACTTCCGCTCGTTCCTTTCACCAATGAGGGAGCCCTTTCCAGTAGGAGTTTAAAAAACTTTTTTGCATCATTAATTTTGGAACTCATCACTTTTAAAGATTAGGGTGTAATGTCGGCATGCCGTGCATGACCGGTCAGGAATCTCCGAACAGCAGCAAGTCGAACATTCGCAGAAAAGCACACACCATGTATAATACCAATGTGCCCTGATCCTAAGGAGTAAGTAGCCCGCAGCCTTACCTGGAGCATTTTCACCAGCTTACATTCCTGCTCAAACGCAAACATCCCATAAACATGAACATGTGCCAAACCACCACTCAACGCCAGGCAGCGAGTGATCCACAATGACCCCAGAACCCCACATGCACCCGGGAAAAAATGCACTCAGGGAAATGGAGCTATGGCTCACCTCCAGCTCCGACAAACCTGAACCGTGTCTCTGTAGATTCCCGCTGTCCGCAGCATGCCTTCAACCATGGACTGGAGCACCCGATGAGAACAGCGTCCGCTCCCGAGCTATTCACCATGGTCTGATAATAATGCCCGCGCGATGACGACGCCCCGACTTTAGGAGGGATGGAAAAAAACCCCAGATGGAAAATTCCAAACATAATTTAGGCCCCCGCACAGTATTCGATCACGTCAAGAGCACGTTTCAAGAACCACGAGTAACCCCCTCCGTACCGTAGAATAGCGTAGAATATCGCGCCGAAGATTCAGATGCGGCCCGCCGCTCAACTCCAGCAAGATAAGCTGAACCAGACACAGCAACTAAAAAAGAGCTCACCGACATATCCATGTCAGGACGAACCCCACCAAAGCGCACATAACTTATACCTGTATCCCACCGCTAACTGCGGTATTCTATGATACAATGTCAATTTGAACTTTGTCTTCCAACTAACACACGCAGATGGCGCAACATCCGTAACCTCATTTCAGCGGAGGGAGATTTTATTTTATTTTCCTACTGTCTGTCTGCATCTCCGTAGCGGGGAGTGGAACGGTGCTGTACTGGTTACAGTATAGTATAGTACAGCGCTTGGTATTATAAGGAGCCAGTCGGTGCGGTTTGAATGGCAATGTGCGCGTACAGTACAGTACTGTGCTCGAACGGTGTATGATACTCGAGTGCCACCGTGCTTTTGCGCACTTGCACCGGAAGGATTAGCGGTGGAGGGCCTGAATTCTTACGGTGGCATGCAGTGGAGGGGATGGACGGACTGCGTCCACTACTATACGAAACCCGGGTGCTCCTCAGAAAAGAAGGGAAAGGAAAAAAAACACTAGTAAGTGAGTAAGCTTGAGATATCAACGAAACAAAATACCGGCAATTTATCGAAAATCGGGGGCTGTAGATCGGTTTCGCAGTGTCTTGTTTACTCGGAACTTGGCTTCCCAAATCTCCAAGGACGTTTTCGAGAGGTAAGTTATGGTGTGATATTGGGGGTTTCGCTGTCAAACATGCTTTTTTGGTTATTTCTGGTCGTATCGCAATGCCATACCGGTAGGTGGCCTACGGGATTGACGGGTTAGTGTCAACTGCCTCTTGGATGTAATATCGTTGGGGTAATAAGTTTGGATGGGTATTATATCACAGCACTCTTGCTTTTAGGAAATATACCGATACTATGTTAACTCGGGCGCCTAGGTTTTTAATCTCGCCAGCTGCTAAGAGTAGCCGGGAGAGTACTGTACAGTATCATGCCGTATGTGGAGGCTGCTCGAGCTAACCGCAGCACGGTATCATACTCGAGTATCATATCTTCGACACGGCAGCAGACAAGGCTCCTGAAAACGAAGCCTGAAAACAGACGGACCCATCACCAAAAATCACCAACTTATGATGCCGCCATGCGTTAGCCAGTTCAAGCCCTCCAACTCAGCAACAAAGCTCAAACACCTCCACACAGTGGAGCCTACCGAACTCCCCAAAATCTTACCTACGGCATCACATTCACCACCCACTCACCACCCGCCCTACACACACACACAAAAGCAAGTCACTCGCAGACTAGACCACCATAACAAAACTGCACACCCACATCATACCAAGACCCGGTCACGATAACCTGCAGGTGCCGCCCCAGCGCATCATCACAAGGCGGAGATTAACACGCACACACGCGCGCACACACCCTCTCCAAAAAAGCGTCCTGTACTGTAGTCCCCATTCTCGGTACTAAATTAGCGATTTCCGGACCCTAAACACAGCAGAAAGCGAAATGTGGAGGAGGAGGAGGAGAGCAAATTCCGCTCGTCTCCTTCCGGTCGCGCGCGCCCGAGGGAGGGCGCACCACAGCGGTACCGGTATCGTAAGGGAACGCTACACGAGCGATCATGCAGCATCACTCGAATGGTAAACACCAGAACGGCGGAGAATAGGAAAAACCCCCCCCCCCTAAAACCGACCGCGGGGTTTTGTTCTGGTTGGGCCGTCGGGTTGGGGAGATTAGTGATCTACGCTGTCTCTCGCGATACCGTCTTGAGAGCGCGTGAGTGAGCGCGTGGTTTTTTTCTCCTGCGGGAATGGGATTTCGAACGCGGTTCCCCGCTCTCGTACTCCCGCTATTGTGAGCTTGATATCGCGACATGGTCTTCGCCATCTGAAATGCGGAGTACTCGTACGGTTCATCTATCGGACATTTCAAACACCCCATAGAGAGGAAGAGAATCCCGGGCACGATACTATACCACGAGTGTAAGATCTATGGTGCAATCCACGGTACCGTACTCGCACAGTACGAGTACATTCGCGAGCGTCATTTAATTCTCAATTGCTCTATTTATTCATTTGTAAACCCCACGTTTTCGGTCGGTCGGTCGGTCGGTCGGTCAGTTGGCTGGTCGTGAATAGAACCATCGTATCGTATCGTCTGCTTGTTGATGATACCCCCCTCTTCTTCTATCCTCCTCCTTTTAGTTTGTCAGTTCATCACGTTCCATCCATTCCGAAACCCTCCCTTTCCCTCATCTCCCCCGCCCTTTCTCCTCTCCCACCGTGTCACCCCTCTCATTCCATCCATCTGTCTATCTGGCCTTTTTCCACGGATGGATATCCGCTGTTGCTGCTGCTGCGCATGCAACCACCCCCTCCCTCTTAATACCTCATTTTTCAGATGACTGCGATTGTATCGTACAGTATCATATCGTATCATAGCGTGGCCGGATTTCACTTCACTTTGGTTCACTTTTTGAGCTTACCCCACATTTGTCGGTTATGCCAAGATTTGAGTTGGGAGTTCGGCTTGTCCGTTTCGGCCTTTAAATCTGGACTGTGGTGGTGAGAGCAGCAAGAGGTTTGCTCCGGTGACACAACACCGGTACCGGTACTTGTAGCACATGTGGTTTGCGATGTCCAGTAGGGCTAGGGTTTTGTCCTCGTTTGTTTGTTTGTTTGTTTGTTTGTTCGCCCGGTTTGTGTGTTTCCGCTTACGGTACTGTGTTTGCAGTTCGTCTACGGGTACTGCTAGATGGCAATTTACCGGTAGATTGCGGCACTGCCACCGGTAGAGCAAGTTAGATGCGACCCCAAGATTTGCAAAAGAGAAGAGGATGAGGAAGGGGAGGAGCGGAGTGAAGATGTCGCTGCACCATTCCGTACCGTCACGGTAGTCCTGAATCACTGTCGTTGATAAATTGGTGCACCCCCATTCTTCCCACACACACACACTGATAATTCGTCCAGATGAAGAGGTGGGTGGTGGTGAGCTCTTCAACTCAAATTAATCCTCATCAATTATTACCCTGTACTCGTACTTGCTTGCCTGCGCTTACTCGCACGGAGGCAGTGTACATACGAGTAGTATCGACGACGAATTGGGTAATTCTCAGAGAAAGTTGCCCAATCCGTGGTGAAGTGTTCCAAATCCGCGTCAAGTACCCCTGCTAGCGGGGCACCCCCTTGCTAGTGAAATACACAAAACTTGGGAGCTGTAAATTTGGTGCCTCCGTACTCGTACAGTAAATTGCGGTACAGCTGTAGGGTGCCGTACCGGTAGATGTTCAGTTGTGGTGCTCTGCAGCTAGACGCTCCCCTTCAAAATTGGACAGAAATAGGCAGGCAAAGGGATCAAAATTCGTACTCGAGTACCCTATTGCCGGCGCAAGAATTACCGTAAAGGCCATCCATCCATCCAAAGAAGTGAGAGGAGATGGAAGCCGAAATGACCAGAGCTCTGCGTGTGGTTCCGGGAGTCTGCACGGACTACCGGTATGATACTACCGTATTTAACGACATTACCCTGCCCGTACTGTAATTGCCACAATATAGCCTGTATCGTGAAGTCAGGCAAGAGCCCCAACATTCCTTCGCTTTCGCCTTCCACCTGCGAAAAAAAAAGGAATAAAAACTAAAAAAAAAAACTGCTGGGCAAAGAGGCATGTTTCGTCGTCTCTCCCAACAGCAGAAGAAAGAAAGACGCAAGAGCGAAACTGCACCAATACCATAGGGAAGTGTGGGGAGCCGGGAGGGGTACTACGTACCCTACTGTAACTCTGGCACTACTGTAACTCTAGCCCCCCCCCCGCCCATATCTATCATACACCTATCAAAGGGCCACCATAACCTCCACACGTAAAGAAAGCAAAGAAAGAAAGAAAGAAAATAATGGAATGGAATGGACCGGGAACCCCCCGCTCTCATACGATACCGCTATCCACACGGGTGGTGGAGCAGAGCAAGTCGTCAACGGCAGCTGTAACAGTACGTAATCCGATTGATGCGTCGCTCAACCTCACACACACACACCCCCCCTACCCCTACCTCCCCCCGGGAAAAAGAAAAAAAAAACACCAATTCTGTGCTACAAAAGAGAAAGAAAGAAAGAAAAAAAAAAGGAAAAACCACATTTTGAGGTTCTCAGCCCAAGCTTGAGGTTGTTTTCGAAGAGAAGTGTATTTTCACCGTGGCAAGCCAAAATTCGATATCGTGCCTATCATGTGCGGGAAACGGTGGATTCTAACTTATCCCTCGCTTCGCTTACCGTACGAGTACCCTACCCCGCAAATCAGAGGGGGGGGGGTTGCCGGGATATTTAGTAAAAATCGCACGTTACGTTTGGATCTAAATAGACTGGCGTGGAAAAGGGTCTCATGTGGTCTCGATACACGGTGGTGATGGGGGAATGGATGGGTACTGTAGCTCTTTTGCGTTTACTCGAGTGCTAGGAGAATTTGTTTGATACGGTACGTATCGTAGCGCGCTCTGGGGTAGGCTAGTTTGCGGGGGAGGGCGGGGGAAGGGAGGGGCAGGACGCCATGTGGGGGATAAATTTTGGGGTTTTTCCTTTTTTTTTTGAAGGACGGTAGACTACCGTATATTTCTTATATTTATGGGTTGTTCTTGTGATCATTTTGGTCAGGATGGGGACGCACCACTTGTAAATTCGGGCTTGAATGCCGCGAAGGAGGAGCGGGAGAATCACGGATTTGGGGAAAATTGGGCTTGGTCTGTTCGTGATACTGTACTCGAGGACGATACGGTTGAGACAGGATCATTGTGTTGCAAGTTGGGGGCGGACTATCATACAATGCTGTATCGTATTCTGGGTTTTCGAGGATGGATTGATGGGTGAGTTGAATTGTGGTCTGCTGAGAGTGGAAAAGTGAGCTGGGCTGAGTTGTGCTCGGGGAGCTTTGCTCCCCGCTTGTTGCCAGTTCTGTTCCTCTTGATACCGGTGACTTATGGGTTTGCGATAAGGAGAACGACTGCTAAAATCTTGCCTTCCCCTCCTCCACCCTCCAGCCCTCGGCCTATGCGCCGTCAAAAGTTTGGGTTACATACGGTTCCCTATCGTAAAAAGAAGGGAGGAAAGCAAAAAAAAAAAAAGTAAAAGTCGAATACCGGTGTTCCAAACCCCAGGAACCCACCCAGGCGCGGCAAGACTCCCCAGAGATGGGAAGGCCCAAATTAGCTTCCTCAACTTCGTACAGTGCCGTACATACCGGCACTGCCGGTACTGATATCACTTCACATGGAAGCAAACCCATCCCCACAAAGCGTCCAATAGCTCTCTCGCAAAGGTGATGGGCATTCGAACACGTTGGCAAAGGAAGAGCCTGTCTCTCTCTCTCTCTTTCTTTCCCTGCATAAGAAGCCCCTTCGAGGGTAAAGGGTAAAAGCTTTCGTTCGGGCTATTGCAGCAAGGAAGAATCTCCATGTGGAAACTCGATGCAGTGGTCGAGTATTTCATTGGACGGGAGAGTTTTCGGTGGGTTTACGAGTGCTCGGTGGAGACGGGTTCCCTTGCCTATCTCACATTTCATGCTTTGCTCTGCTTCGAGTACCGTACAGTACTCGTAGAGCGCACTTCGGTGGGATGGAATTTACTTTTGGCTTTGGGAAATGGGGGTGGTTCTTTGGTCCAATCAGAATTGTTCCACCTCCATATTTGAGGTGTCTGGTTTGAAATACCGGCAGTGCATCCCAAACCGGTATTTCTGACAATCGTTTACGGCATCAGTGGTCCCTTTTTGGTGCTTTTCTTTTGCTTCCCACTTGAACACATCCGAGACACGCTTTCCAATTCCTCTACCTGTATTACCGGTAGAGCTCCTTCTTTGCTTCTTTTCCTCCATTACTCGAGTACTTGCTTATTCCTGAAGCCGGCCTTACGCACCAACTCTACGAGTAGGGTGCTGCTCGAGCAAAGCTCTTCAATGACGAGGCGAGTGCATTGGATGCCTAGGAAGTGCAGCGCACCAAGCCTGGAGACAGAAGGAGCTTTCCTACGCTGCCCGTGCTGTGTACTCGAACTGCGGCCAAGCTGCACATCTGATTCGTGAGCCACCCCTTGCACTGTATGCTCCAAAGAGCTTCCAGTCAAAAAAGAATTATCGACCGCCATCACCACATCGCTTGATATTGTATCTCATCTTCTGAAAGGAAGGGAAGGTAAACTGCGACTGTAGAATGCAATGCACATCGCGCACCCCACCGCCAAACGCGCAGGGGTATACTGGTGGCCCAGCAAGCAGAGAGCAGGCAAGTGAAGGAGTCTCGAGGGACCTCCTCATCCGCACGAGCGAAACATACTGTACTCCCCGTGCACGCACCCATCTTACCTTAGGGTTCATCCACCATAAACCCGCTTCCTCGCACAGGCGCACCCAAGGGTTTTTTTCCAATCGATCCC